GTTCGCGCACAAATCTTCCCAAATCAATTATGACTGATGAATCTATATTGAAGAACTTTTTGATAATATTTCTTTTATTTCAATGCCTTTTGGCAAACGAAAGATGTCTTAGACCAAACCATGACAAAGAGATTGGAAAAAGATTGCCTCTTTCTCCTTTCGCGGTGCTCAACGACATAGGGTTTCAAATGTGTTTTAGAGAATGTGAGGCTTTTGCTATGTGTTTATCAATTAATTTCAGTCCCAGATTGTTAATGTGTGAGTTGAACAGTGATAAGGAAAATGCGACTATATCTTTAGTTGATGATGATGATTTTATCTACAAAGAAATACCGGATGTTGTACGTATTGAATGTTTGGATTTTTTTTTATAATGTACTTTATAATTTGTGAATATTGGGAAATTTGAGACTTTTTTGTACTTTGCAATTAAGTAAGTGTTTTATTCTGACTTTCTACAATAACTACAACTTACTATGATCTTTTATAGTTTCCATTTCCTACGGCGCCGTTGTTGGGTCAGGTAAAAAAAAATCAAACAATATTTTTATTTGTTTGGACGAATGAGAAAATTCGTTCGGACAAAATAGTTAGTACATATAATTTAATTTTTATTTGTTTTAATTATAAATATAGATGAATGAAAATTTCTTAAGTGACCACTTACTCAAGTATTTAAAATTCCACGAACTTTTAATTTCCTCTCAACAATTTCCGTGTTTCATCCTAATTTCGGAAATATTGAGCTGTTATTTTTTTAAGATAACCTTCCTAAGAGGAATTGAAAAAGACGAGGTATGATAAAATCCAAGTTTTGTCCATTATTTGATCGATAAATCAAAACATACTATAAATTGTTAAAGGTGATGATAAAGGACTTAAAACGCTGATTGTTTGAAACCAAAGACTTATTTCGATTAGAAGCATAATTATACATGGAGACTACAGGAAGGATAAAAAATGACGTTTTATCTTTCTGCATTTCTGAATTGATTTTTTCTTTAGTATACATTTCACTTTCAGAATCATAAAACACATACTTGCCCTTTTGAGATTTTTATGAACAAAATGCATACTAAGGCTTAAACTAAGTTTAATACATGATGCGTCTTTTGCTGTGTTTTATAATTGATGAAAAAATAATGAACGTGAGTTAATTCAGAAACTGATATAAATTGTATTCGTCCTTTGATATCTGTAATGCAGGTAAAACTAATACTCATTTTGTAACAGGGAAAACCGAGGGCTTTTGATTAATGAACTATTTTATCGCTCTTTGAGAATCATGTTAGAGAATTCTTAAATAATTTTGGTTGTCCATCTTAGGGTGCAATTATTTTCCCTCCTTAAAACGTTTTAATACACACACCTCCCAACCTTATTAATATTCAGGGTCATGAACCCAAGGGAGCAATCATTGCATCAGATATTTTCTTTAAACAAGGAAAGACAACTCAAGATTTTCTTTAATGGTATCGTCAGTTTCTTTTATCAATTTATATACATTTAAATTGTGATAAAATGGGGGGGGGGGGGGGAGAGAAAAAATATTGAGATATGTTTTATATCATTAAGATCACTTCTGGTTTATTTTTATGTTGAATAAGTTAAACATTAACACACAGTGTATTTTCAGTATGAAATACTGCATAGGTATATGAATGTGTTCACTAAATTTCTGTTTAATAAATACAGGTAAATTGAGTTACAGGTATACCTGATTTCACAAAAGCTACATATCTGCAGCTGCTAGTACATGTAAATATTTCTGGAAGGTATCTATCTACATAATCATATTCAGTTATTAATTTTTTCTGTTAACTGAATTCAACAAAAATAATTTAAACTGATATGCACACCATTTATATATCATGACTCATATTGAAAAAAAGACAAAGTAAACAAACAGTATGCAATTATATTTACAAGAAATTTACTAAGCACTACATGTAGACAGACAATGGAATGTCAACAACAAATAAGTTGTATAATACAGGCATATGTTATAATAAAGATTATGCTGTTTAAATATGAAGTAAAAATTTATAAATCAATATTTAGATACCCTTCACAAGATCTCCAAATTTTGACTATTTTTAATAAACAAGATTAAGTGCACATGTACATTATAAATACTTTTTTTTCCTACTCAAAAAAATTCAAGTTCCATTTTTTAAAGATAATCAACCTTATAATAAAATTCATAGTAAAAATATTCAAGTGTTTCTTTTTTTACTGATCTGGTTTAAAATACATGTGTAATTACAATATGTAATTCATATAGTTTAAGTTTAAGCATGCAATACCAGTGAGAGTACATGTAGCTATTACCTCCCTTTTTTGCAAACATTCTCTATACTGTGATTAAATTAAAAACATTAGTTTTAAGTTATAAATCTTATCTTATCATTTCATAACCTATGAAGTCACCTGCATGGCACAGTGGCAAGAGCATCTGCTCGAGAGTCATGAGTAAGGAGTTGATCTATAAATTGCTAGTTCGAAATCCCACAGTCGGACATAGATGCGACTGTATATACAGAGGTCCTGTGTTGCAGTAGGCGCTAGCACCAAAAAGATCCCTCATTGCTCAATTAGCCTTGTGTGCCAAGTAAAGGACTAAATTTGCAGCTCTACACCGACAAATGTTGGCATCCCCATATGAGTGAACATTTCTCAAGAAGAATGTTAAACAACGTACAAATAAACAATAAACTATAGAGTACATGTATTTGAATTTGCAAATTCTTTTTTTCTGAGAAAGGGATCCTCATATGATGTTTAGATATGGTTCATATTAGTAGAAAAGTACTGTATCATCCCAGCTAATCTTCATGAATTCAGAAACCATTTGTTACATGTATATGGCCTGAAAAATATAAAATGTCAATGCATTAACATAAAAGCATATGATTGATATTTTTATAATTCATCATAAATTAATTGAATCAATAAAATAAAGTCACACTTGTTATCTTGAAATGCTCATTGGACTGCTGAAAAAAAACCCATATATCCAAGAGATTCCGGGTAAGATATATAGAAAAAAAATATCTTTCAAGGGACTTTTAAATGACTTTCATATCTCAATGTGTTCAAAATATCACCCAGTGTCAACTGTCAAAGATATATACCAAAGTTCAAATCTAAACAGAGTATATAAAATTCATATACATGTATGCCATCATCGATGCAAGCCACGGGTTTTGTGTCCATTCTATTTCCACAAACGTTTGTGGAAATAGAATGGACACAAAACCCGTGGCTTGCGACGATGGTATGCCATTTACAGTTGTTAAATCAATCTATTATTGTTCATTAGTAATCTGCATGAGAAAGAGATATGCACAAAATGAGCAAATTAAATTTATTAACAAAAGTAAATCATATAAATGCAATTCCAAGTGTTTGCAAATCATTCATCCAATTTGTAATACTGTCATGAACGTCAACATACCCTAGGTAGTCAAAGTTTTTTTTATTTTAAGATACTGTTGTTTAACTGTACTTATTTAGACTGCACTGTATTCACTTGTTTTCCAACAGTACACATTTTTCATATTATCTGAAATCCATCATTACTATCATGATGAGAGTTATGGCCCTTTTCTGTAACCCCAAAATATTGCTTTCTTTCTGAAAATTGTGGCTGTTTTGACCTTACATAGATATCAACTTAAGTCTCCATAAAATAGGAATTTAAATTATGAAAATTTAAATTATTTTAATCTCTACTTAACTTAAAAGCCAACAAATAAACAAAATGATTTTCCAATATTTACATAGGACTTTTAAGATAAACATTCTGTTTCTAATTATGGCACATCCATTACCCTTGATTCTGGGATTCAATACTAGGATGTTTTCGTTCAAAAAATATGATGTATCGTGGCCCTGATAATCTTGAATAGATTTCATAATAAAAGGCTTCAGCCTTAAATATTCCAGAATAAAACTTTGATCCCCCACTGTGGACCCACCCTACCCTATAAAGCTATATGATCTGAACAAATCTAAATCTGCTCTTAACTATCTCAGAGTGACTAATAATGACCTGTCTATTCTTGAAAAGAATTGAGATTTAATTTTTTGTCTACGGATTACTATCCTTCTCTCTATTTTATTGCCATACTCTATATACATCAATAACATATCATCACCAGTAATCAACATATCTTCTCTTTGGACTTGACATCCTTTCCTAGATTCTCGTGGTTGAAGCTTCCATCAGATACAGCTGAACTACAAATATGATTAATAAGTTAATACAATCCTCTACATTTAATTAATCCAAATAAAATAAAAGCATTTGCAATAATGTGGAAAGAAAACTGAATGAAAATTACTGAAAAATATCACTGCACTACATGCAAATCAGAAAAATATGTAAAGCAATCATTTACAGTTTGCATAATGTGCTGATTTATGTATCTGCATAAATTTCAGTTCATTAAATTGTTTGCTGAAACAGACAACCAACTGTATTTATAAATTCTCTTTAAATGGATTTTCTTCTGCCTTTGAACTTACATGTACTATTATGCAGCATGATAATATGAGAATTTTTTCACCCATTTTTTATTATTAAAGTATCTGCTGAAAATAGAACAGAATGTGATTAAATCTTTTGAGAATTAAACAAAAACAAAAATCACTGATGCATGATTTTCAATTATATTGACCCTTTTATCAACATCTCTCTCTCTTTATCTCTCTCTCTCTCTCTCTCTCTCTCTCTCTCTCTCTCTCTCTCTCTCTCTCTCTCTCTCTATATATATATATATATATATATATATATATATATATATGTAACTTTACACATGATTCTTTTATACATTGATATACCTGTACATGTAGATATTGGAGTAATTGGGCATGCTTAATTTTTTTTATTTGTTTATTACAATCAGGAAGATCAGGATGATAATAATTAAATAATAATGTTGCATATTAAATATGTTATAATTTTATCCTTACAATTACATATACAATACTCACAACAGGCAATCCTTGAACATGCACATCACTGTCTTCAGAGAATATCCTGCAAGAAATATTCAATCATTGCACATTACAAATGAATTGATTTTATTTTCTTTTTTAAAAGTTTATATTTGCTTTTTTTGTTTTATTTTAATGAAATTATCATTTTTGTGCATTTAATACAAATTTCAATAATGTTTGTTTATTTAACCTTATAGGGTCAATTGTGTTATTTTTGTCATACCTAGAGATGGCTGTTCAAAATGTACTCTACAGCTGTACCTTTTGCTGAACCTGCAATAGACAAACAACACATTGAAATATTTAAACAATATGTAAATTAAATACATGTACTTCTACAAACAAAAATGCAAAACATCAATGTAATTATCATACGCAATATCTTTTCATTACACAGATTGATGCACGCATGCATGTAATTTATTATACCCCCCGCCTGAAAAGCGGGAGGGTATATTAAGTAATCGGTCTGTCTGTCCGTCTGTTATGCTTTGGTGTACCCATCTCTTATCCGCTAATTCCTCTCATACCACTGAGTGATATTTAATGACTTTCACAGAATCTATATTGCATAATGCAATTGTGCATCTTCTATTTTACTTTTTTGATACGCCACATATTTGGGTTTTCCCATAGCAAAACATGGACACAGTCATTATATTCATATGAGAATTAGCGGTGGGTATCATTTAGTGTCAGAGCTCATTGCTCACAGTACCTTTAGTTTTCTAACATTTATACTTTTTCAGTAGCTACTTTTAGATGGGCAATACTTTAAATGGGGATATAGTGGTACACATAGAAATATTTAAAATTTTCATAAACTGCATATGTGATTGATTGATTGCAATTGTATAATGTTTAGAATATCCCTCTTAAGAATTTTTCACTCATATGGAGACGCCACCACTTGCCGGTGGAGGGCTACAAATTTTGGATGAGGGCCTTTGAGCAGGGAGGAATCTTTTTTGTGCCAGCACCTACAGCGACATGGGGCCTCGTTTTATACGGTCTCATCCAAGGACCAGTCTCCACGTCCCACAGTGGGATTCGAATTAGCGACTTAAGGATTGACTCCTTACTTCTCGACTCTAGAGCAGACTCTAGAACTAATCACTGCGCCACGCGGGCGACAACTGCATATGTGAAGTTTCATACCTGATATAAACACAAGTATGTGAGAACTGCATTGACATCATCTGATCATAAATTCTATGATATTAAATTAGAAAAGTAAGAACCATATTTTGATCAGAAGGCTCTAGTGAAAACTGCATGATTGATATAAAAAGCTGACACTATTAAAACTGCAAACAAATGTAAACAAACCTTTAATCCTTTATCCAGGTACACATGTATATGTGTAGAGGAAATTCGGAAGGACTTCTTGTGCATACGGATAGAATTAAATTTTAATCTCTTGGTATTTGAAAAAACACATATGACTCTCACAAGTTATTGGGTATTGATAAGTAAGAATAATGACTTTTATACGCGTAACTCTGCATGTGCATGCATAGTAGACTACCTTACAAGTAGGAACGAACTATAGCACACCTGCATTTTCTCTTCAATTTTAGACATGCTATTAACAGCATTTGACAAACATGCCCTAAAATATTTAGTCATTTTTTTGCTAGAGGTAATCGAAAAAATAAAAGTAATTCTACTTACGAGTGTTTTTGTTTACTAAATCAATGTATGTGGGTTAATCTTGACCATCACAACTACTCCATTCCACGTGGAAACATGTTTACAAAATCGAGAGGTGCTGTTTTGACACTTTAAAGTGCAATAGCACTTGACAGAATAAGAAACTGCAAACATACTTTCACTTTTCAGGTAAAGAAACGTTTGTTTTTCAACTTTTTGCAATTTACAAATCTTATAAATCGAGATAACATAAAGTTTTACCTCTTTTTTCATGTTAAATTTCTCTCTCGATTTTCACCTGTATCATGTTGGTCTCGCTGAATTCTCGCGAGGAAAGCTGTTCGGACGTTTACGGATTTTGTTCATATTCTATTACGTTTATCTCCGAATTCTTCCGATTTATGCTAATGAGGTTAGGAGGTGTGATACATGTACAAGTAAATTTTACAATATAACTTTTAATATCAAAATGAAATATACATTTTGTTTCTCATGAATTTGAAGTCTGAGAAACCAAAGAGATTTTGAAATATTATTTCAATGAAACATTTGAAGACTTATCAGAGACATGTCAGAAATAAAAATGTTAATCATAGTGTTGAAGCAAGCGAATCATTAACTGTGTCTAGACAACTTATACTTTGAGATATTTTACATTCATATGTGCGTCTGCTTTCCAAGGACTTCCATAATTCTAGATCATGTACAAATCAATACCTTCTCCCCGTCCTTAAGTATATTTTATGTTTTAGTAGGTAATATAATATATACATTTAATTTCTTTCGTTTGAGGAACGAATTAGACAGAAACTATCTTTTACTTGGTATGACAATGAATAACTTTTTTTGTAATTACAAGGTTTTTACTCGGATTCATGGTAAATATCATGTGGTTTTTAAGAGTCAGTCTCGGTAGCAAGGCTATGTAAGAGATGAATAGTGGTTTAAATGCCAGTTTTAGGATGACACATAGGGCACGATAAAAGTTAAAATTCTATCTTTTTTCAGTCAATCCAACATAACTATCTACGTACATGTATATAAAAATTGATTTATATTTTGCATGCTATATGTACATTGTACAATAAATCTGATACGTGTTGTTGGTATATCTTAAAAGTGTGTTGTTTTTTATTGTATATCGCGTACTTTCATTTGAGTGTAATGAATGCATTTAAAGCGTAGAATGTGCAAAAACATGGATTTGGCATTTTTATAAATCACAAAATCGTTCAATTATCCTTTTTTCAT